TATATATATATATATATATACATATATATATATATATACATATATATATATACATATATATATATATATATATTTATATATGCATATATATGTATGTACGTATCTGTTGGCTTTGTTATCTTCTCTGCGTTTCTTTTTGTTTTGTTGTTCATTTGTTCGTCTGTCTTTTAGTGGCGGCAGTTTTTTTGTTTATTTTTTACAAATGTAGGTTGCTTGTTCTTGTTACATTCTCGTTTCTGTTTGCTGCTGCTGCTGCTGCTGCTGCTGCTGCAACTGCTGCCCTGTGCTGCTCTTTTTGTGTTTTTGCTTGGTCTGTCGTTATCTTTCTTCACTTCTTTGTTTTATTTGTTTCTTTGTTTGTTTTTATTTTGTGCATTTGTTTGTCTTTGTCTGTTTTGTTTATCGTCTCCTGTCTAGCTTTCTGCTTGCTTGTTTGCAGCAGCAGCTCTCTAACAGCAGCGGCAGTAGCAGTAATAGCCCTCTAGTAGCAGCAGCGGCAACATCATCACCCCTGTAGCAGCAGCAGCCCTATCACCAGCAGCAGCAACACTACCCGCAACAGCAGGAGCAACACTAGTAACGCCAGCAGCAGCAGCAGCAACACTAGCAACGCCAGCAGCAGCAGCATAAACACTACCAGCAGCAGCAGCAGCAGGTTCTCACATGCTGTTTGCATCTGCTTCAAAGTTTGTTTTAAATTTATTCCAGGACTGCTTCTTCGCGCCGAAGACACAAAATGCTTTTCTTAGTACCCAGTCAACCAACTCTCCTCCATCTCCTTTCTTTGCTTCCCCCATCTTCACCAGCAGCAGCAACAGCAGCAACAGCAGCAGAAACAGCAGCAGCAGCAGCGGCAGCAGCGGCAGCAGCAGCTGCAGCAGCAGCAGCAACTGCTGCTGCTGCTAATTATTGTTCGGTACACCGAAGCCTCAGGGGGCCCCCAGAAGCCCACAGGCTCTCGGGGGCCTCTATATATGAGGCGCCACCACGAGAAGCTGCGATCTGCTGCTGCTGCAGCTGCTGCAGTTGCTGCAGTTGCTGCTGCAGTTGCTGCTGCTGCTGCTGCTGCTGCAGTGTGTGCGGGGAGCTGTGAGAGGCATTAAAGGTGCCGTCTCCTTCCTGTCGTTCTGCACAACAAATATAAATTCAATTAGAAATATTTCAGCAAATTAAATGATAATATCGCTGCAGGCGAAGAGGTGACCCCGGAAAACCACCGCATGCAGCAGCAGCAGCAGCAGCAGCAGCAGCAGCAAGGGGATCTGGCAGCGGATCTCTGGGGTGTATGGATATATTTCCTTTAGTTTTGTTTAATTTACTAGTAAAAAAAAGCCAAGAAGATCGATGCGTGCGGATTTGTTATTATCGCTGCAGTAGCAGCAACAGCAGCAGCAACAGCAGCAGCAGCAGCAGCAGCAGCAGCAGCCACCGGAGAGGGCTAGCGGATTAGGTCGTTGTGTGTTTGGGGCTGCGGCAGCAGCAATTGCAACTTTACTGCTACTAATATCTTTTTAATATACCCAAAGCCACATTATATATTTATAAACAGCAGCAATTCATATTGAGACATACACTGCAGCAGCAAACAGCAGCAGCGGCTGTCTGTACACCTCAACCACTGGGGGCAGGGGGGCTGCGATGACGGCTGCTCGCCGTATTCGTATCTCCTGCAGCAGCAGCAGCAGCAGCAGCTGCAGCCGCAGCAAGACCAACTACAAGAACAGCAACAGCAACAGCAGCAACAGCAGCAGCAGAGTACATGCAGCTGGCTGTCTGCAGCCAACCCCCTCTCTACACGCATTTAGCTGCTGAGGATGACGCCTAACAGTTGAAGCCTCCAGCCTGAGGCGCAGCAGTAGCAGCAGCAGCAGCAGCAACGGCAGTAACAGCAACATCAGCAACAGCAACAGCAACAGCAGCAGCAGCACACAGCTCCGCTAGCTAGCAACAGCTGAGCGTTGGCTGCAGCAGCAGCAGCAGCAGCAACAGCGAAAATGGACCTCCAAAAAGAGAGCGATGTTCCCCCGAAGCAGCAGCAGCAACAGCAGCAGCAGCAGCAGCCAGCAACACGGCTGCTGCTCAGCAGCAGCAGCAGCAGAACAGTTTGTGGGAAGACCTTTGCTTTGGCACGCTCGCGCCCTGTTCAGCAGCAACAGCAGCACGTGAAACTGCAGCAGCAGCAGCACCTGCAGCAGGAGCAACACCAGCAGCACGCGCAGCAGCAGCAGCAACAACAACAACTGCAGCAGCAGCAACTGCAGCAGCAGCAACTGCAACTGCAGGATCAGCACACAGTTCAAGATGAAGGGGATGAAGAGAGTCTCCTCTTTAGCCTGCAGCAAAAACGCATGCAGCTACGGCAGCAGCAGCAGCAAATTCTACAGAGGCTGGCTGCCAATGAACCTCCGCACAACCAGCAGCAGCAGCAGCAACAGCAGCAGCAACAGCAGCAGCAGCGTCATGCGGAAGGAGATGCACTTCTCTATTCCCCTGAACAAGAGCACTCGAGGGTGCTGCAGCTGCACGTACACCCCAACCTGCAGCAGCAGCACCAGAAGCAGTTGCAGCAGCAGCAGCAGCACCAGAAGCAGTTGCAGCAGCAGCAGGGGCAGCAGCACCATCTAAGGAAGCGCGTGACGTCCAGCAGCAAAGACGACACGTGGGCTGCTTCCCAGGAGGAGGATGAGCAGCAGCAGCAACAAGGGCAACAACAGCAGCACGAGAAGCAGCAGCAGCAATGGGAGCAGCAAGACTGCTTGTTGCTGCATCGACTGCGCATGCAGCGGTTGCAGCTGCAGCAGCAGCAGCAGGAACTGCAGCAGCAACTGTCTAAGGAAGGCCCCCGGCAACTTGGCACTACTCAGCAGCAACAGCAGCAGCAGCAGAACGTGCAGCAGCAAAGGCAGCAGCAGCAGGAAATTCAGCAGCTGCACCAGATGGAGGACGGGGAGGCTAGCAGCAGGGGCCCCGTCATGCAGCAACAGCTGCTGCAGCAGCGGAAGCAGCAGCAGCATGAACATCACCAACAGCAGCAGCTGCAACAACGAGAGGAGGCGCAGCAGCACAGCAGGGCGACCTCAAGACCTAGGGAGTTGCGGCAAACAGCTCTAAGACAGTCAGCAGCAGCAGCAGCAGCAGCAGCAGCAGCGGCGCCGCTACCAGAGCTGCGACGGGTGCAGCAGCAGCAACAGCAGCAGCAGCAGCTGTCATTACGCGATTGTCTGCCTTCACCCGAAAAACAGCAGCAGCAGCAGCAGCCGTTGCAGCAGCAGCGTAAGCAGCCACAGGACCTGCAGCAGCAGCAACCGCAGCAGCAGCAGCAAGGAAGAGTTGCTGCTGCTGCTAGCAGTGCGAAGCCCTGCAGCAGAATTATTTCGACTCGGCAGCAGCGCCCAGGTTCCTGCTTGTCTGTACACCAGGAGCTGCAGCTGCAGCAGCAGCAGCAGCAAAAACAGAGAGAAGAAAACTTAAAGAGACTCTCAGAACAGCGACGCATGCGCCTTGCTCGTCATCTGCAGCAGCAGTACCGCCGGCAGCAGCAGCAACAGCTCCAGCAGTGGCAGCAGCAGCAGCAACAGCTGAAGCAAGCGCAGCAGCAGCAGCAGCAGCAGCAGCTGAAGCAACAACAGCGAATGCAGCAGCTGCAGCTCAGCTATACGCAGACAGCAACGAGGTTGAGACCCATCTCCATGCAGCAGCAGCAGCAGCGGCAAAGACAGCAGCAGCAACTAGACGACCAGCAGCAGCAACGCGGGCACCAGAGGGCGCAGCAGCAGCAGCAGCAGCAGCAACGACAAGGGTTGCACCGACAGCTATCTCAGCAGCACCTCTTCCACCCGCAGCGACCAGCAGTGAGCAGCAGCAACAGCAGCAGCAGCAACAGCGGCGGTGGAGGCGGTAGCAGCAGGAGTGGTGGCGGCGGCGGCAGCAGCAGCAGCAGCAGCAGCAGCAGCACAGCTCGCCGCAGCAATATTAACACGGCGCCGGTTCTGCTGTCTGCTGCGCAGCAGCAAATGCAGCATGATGCTGCTGGTGCACTGCAGCGTTGCTGGAGAGGTATGCTGGGTGTAAGGGTTTAGGGCTAAGGGTTTAGGGTTTAGGGTTTAGGGTTTAGGGTTCAGGATTGACATGCTCATGCTCTCTGGAGTTGTCAATGTGTGCTGCAGCATATCAGCGCCGGAAAGCAGCCGCAGCAGCAGAAGCAGCAAGAGCAGCAGCAGCAGCAGCAGAAACGGCAGCAGCGGCTCGAGCAACAGCTGCAGCAATAGCAACAACAACAGGAGCAGCAGCAGCAGCAGCCGCAGCTCCAGCGGCACTGCCATCTGCACCAGAGCAGCAACTGCAGCAGCAGCAGAAGCTGCAGCAGCAGCAAGAAGGAGACAGCAATGCAGCAGCAGCAGGAGACTCCCTTGACGCCCTCATCCGCAAAACCACATGGAAGCTGCAGCAGCACGTTTTGAAGCAGCAGCAAGAGAAGCAGCAAGGGCAGCAGCAGCAGCAGCAGCAGCAAGAGAAGCAGCAAGGGCAGCAGCAGCAGCAGCAGCAGCAAGAGCAGCAGCAGGTCAGAGAAGCTACAGGAGATAGGGTTGTTCCTGCGGTGGCAGCAGCGGCAACAGCAGCAGCAGCACCTGGAGTGGAGGCTCAGCCAACTGAGTGCATGCAGAGAGCAGCAGCAGCAGCAGGAGCAGGAGGAGGAGTAGCAGCAGACGCTGAATGGAGCCTTGCACCAGAACCCAGCAGCAGCAGCAGCAGTAGCAGCAGCAGGAGCAGCAGCAGCAGCAGCAGCAACAGTAGCCCCGCTGCTTCTGCTGCTGCTATGGAACTGCAGGCTGCGCATGCATATATAAGGAAGCAGCAAAAGCTGGATCTGCTGCTGCAGCAGCTGCTGGCACTGATGCAAGAGAAGCTTCCACCGCAGCAGCAGCAGCAGCAGCAGCAACGGCAGCAACAACCATCACCGCCCCAGCAGCAGCAGCAACTGCACCAGCAGCAACAGCAGGAGCAGCGGCAACAGCAACAGCTGCAGCAGCAGCAACAGCCGGAGCAGCAACAGCAGGCAACGCTCCCGATGCAGGAACCGCGTAACGCGCAGCAGCAGCTGCTACTGCCAGCCCTCCACTCCCCCGAGCAGCAGCAGCAGCAGTTGCTGCAGCAACAGCAGCTGGAGCAATCGCAACAGCAGCAGCAGCTGCTGCAGCTGCTGCAGCAAATGCAGCAGGCGAGTGCTGGCTACACTCCGCGTGCTCAGCTGTCGTCGCTGCTGCCGCTGCAGCACCGCAAGACAGAAAGCAAAGACAGCAAATCAGCAGCAGCAGCAGCAGGGATTTGCAACACCCCCCGTGATATAACGGAGCAGCAGCAGCAGCAGGATGCAGCAGCAGCAGCAGCAGCAAGAGCTTGCCTCGCCTCACCGCGGTATACCCTGGGATCGCCTCGTGTGCTGCAGCAGCAGCAGCAGCAGCAGCATCATGACGCAGCAGCAGCAGCAGCAAGAGCTTACTTGGCTTCGCCGCGACACACCTTGGAGTCCCCTCGCCTGTCAGCAACCCTGCAGCAGCAGCAGCAGCATCAGCAGCAGCTGTTGCTGCAGCAGGCCTTCAGCGCCGTCGCCAGCCCAAGAAGCCCTAGGCCCGCTCGATTCCCTGCTGAGGCTGCAGCAGCTGCAGCAGCAGCAGCTGCTGCTGCTGCAGCGCAGCAACACAAGCTGCTGCGCGCAGCACCTGCAGAAGTAGAAAGCCTCGTGCATGCAGTGGTGCAAGCTGTGCTGCAGCAGTTGCATCCTGCTGCTGCTGCTACTGCTGCTGCTACTGCTGCCACTGCTGCTACCAGTGAGCGAGCTGCAGCTCCAAGACCATCCGCAGACACAACAGCAGCAGCAGCAGCTGCTGCTGCTGCTGCAGCAGAACAAGCAGATACATCCCCTGTTGCTGCACCTGGCAGCAGCGACGAAGAGGACTCCGATCGTTCGCCTTTCAGCGACCGCCCTACCCGCAGCAGCAGCAGCAGCAGCAGCAGAAGCAGCAGCAGCAGCAGCAGCAGCAGCGTAGTTCATGTGCCTCGCTTTTCGATAGATCAGATGAACAGATGCCGAGAGCAGCAGCACCAAACCCTTAGATCCTTTCCTCATTCTCCTTTTGCTGCTGCAGCAGCAGCAGAACCAGCAGCAGCAGCAGCAGCAGAACCAGGAGCAAAGAGAGAAGCTGTCGCGGCTGCTGCAGAGGCCGCTGCAGCAGCAGCATCAGCACCAGTGGCAAGAGAGGGAGAGGCTGTCGCGGATCCAGCAGAGGCAGCAGCAGCAGCAGCAGCAGAAGATGCAGCAGCAGCTGCGGATGCTTCAGTGCCTGCAGCTATTGACAGCAGCACAAAGTATTCCCCTTCAGTGGCCTCGCCTTCTATTTCCGCTGCTGCTGCTGCTGCAGCAACGGCAGCAACACCTATGACAGCAGCAACAACGGCGCCCGCAAGCCAATTGCCAGAAGCTGCAGCAGCAGCAGCTGCAGTAGCAGCTGCTGCTGCTGCTCCAGAAGAAGCATCACCGACTGCAGGAGCTGGAACCTCCGTCCACGGGGCTGACGGCTCAGCAGCAGCAGAAGCAGCAGCAGCAACAGCAACAGCAACAGAAAGAGCAGAAGAACCAGCAGCGGTTGCAGCTGCAGCTGAGAGGGCGGCAATGAGCACGACTGCGAAAGAGGCTGCAGCTGCTGTGCTGCAGCAGCCAGAACCCTGCGGCCTGCAGCAGCAGCAGCAGCAGAGACAGCAGCAGGACCTGCAGCAAGGGAAGCAGCAGCAGCAGCAGAAAGAGCTTGTAGAACACATAGAGGGGCGGCGCGAAGATGCCCAGCAGCAGCAGCAACTCCGGCAGCAGTTGCAGAACTATCTGCAGCAGCAGCAGCAACTCCAGCAGCAACAGCAACAGCAGCAGCAGCAAGTTTGGGGTTTGCTGCAGGGATTGCCTTCGCTGCAGCACCCAGCCGAGGCGCATTGTGCAGACACCCCAGCGCCCTCTCCCCGTCGCCAGCGGTATCACGCTGCTACTGCAGCAGCAGCAGCAGCAGCTGCTGCTGCTGTTCCCTCTCACCTGTTGGGGCAGCAAACTCCAGGCGCGCACGAGGCTGCTGCTGCTGCTGCCTCTGAAGAGGAAACGACAGCAGCAGAGGCCGCAGCAGCAGCTCCAGCAGCAGCAGCAGCAGCAGCAGTAGATGCAACAAAACCGGTAGCAATACCACAGGTAGCTATTGCAGCAGTAACAGCAGCAGCAACGGCAGCAGCAACACCAGAAAGGGCTGCAAAGGAGGAGACGCTTCATGCGGAGTTGGTGACAGAGAGACAGCAACAGCAGCAACAGCAGCAGCAACAGCAGCAGCTACCACGGCACGACACAGAAGAGCAGAAAGACGAACCGCAGCAGCAGCAGCAGCAGCAGGAGCTGCCAGGGGAGGAAGATCGCATGCAGCATCAACAGCAGCAGCAGCAGGAGCAGCAACTGATGCTGCAGATTTCTGAAGAGCAACGGCTGAGAGAGCGGGAAGAGGCAGCAACTCAAGAGCAGCAGCAGCGGCAGCTGCAGCAGCAGCAGCAAAAAACGACAGAAGAACTCCGGCAGGAAGATCAGCAGCTCGCGCGCCCAGCGGGTAAGCAGCAGCAGCAGCAACAGCCACAGCAGCAGCAGCAGCACTTGGTGCAGGAGGAGGATTCTGAGGAGGCGCTGCAGCAGCAGCAGCAGCAGCAGCAGCTGCAGCTGCAGCAGCAGGAGCTTCTAGACCTCACGGCGATGCACATCGACTATGCTGGCGGTTTGCTGCGGCTAGAAGAGCAGCAGCAAGACACAAGCCCAGAAGCAGCATTGAAAGTCGCGTTGCTGCTGCTGCAGGAGAGAGGCATTCTCGTCGCTGATAAGGACACTGTAAACCCTGCTGCTGCTGCTGCTGCTGCTGCTGTTGCTGCGGTTGCTGTTGCTACTGTTACTGCTGCTGCTGTTGCCGGTGGTGCTGTTGCTGCTGCTGCTGCTGTGGCTCTTGCTGCTGCTGCTGCTGCTGTGGCTCTTGCTGCTGCTGCTGCTGCTGTGGCTGTTGCTGATCTGGATGTTGCTGCTGTGTCTGCTGCTGCTGCTGATGCTGTTGCTGCTGTTGCTGCTGCAGCTTGCGCTGGAGCAGCAACTTTGATTGTGCAGAAAGTAGAAGCAACGAGTGCCTTTGCGGCTGTTGCTTTGGTTGCTGCTGGTACTGCTGCTGTTGCTACTGCCGTTGCTGCTGCTGCTGCTGCTGCTGCTGCTGCTGCTGCTGCTGCATTGGTTTGAATGTTGCTGCTGCACTTTTGTGTTTAGGAGTTCGTGCGCTCGGCAGACATCCGGCCGACTGAAGAACTCTACCGCAAAGTGGTAAACCCTAAACCCTAAACCCTAAACCCTAAGTGGTTGGCGTTGTGTCGTGCTCTGCTCGCGCTGGCAGCGTTGGGCTGCCGAGTTAGGGTTTAGGGTTTAGGGTTTAGGGTTTAGGGTTTGTGTGCAGCACGAGCGAGTCAACGCCCCTCGCTGCAGCTCGGAGGACGATAGTGTGTTGGCTTTTCTTGCTGCTGCTCCAGCAGCAGCAGCAGCAGCAGCAGCGGCTGCAGCAGCACCGACCGCAGCAGTTGCAACAGAAGAAGCAGCAGCAGCAGCTTCTGCTCCTCCTCTTCCGATCTCCGCCGATTTTGTTGAGTTAATTGCTGATTTGATGTTTGAGGTGGCTTTGCATGCAGAGACAAGGCATTCGCCCGTCAGTCCCCTGCTGCTGCTGCTGCTGCTGCTGTTGCTGCTGTTGCTGCTGTTGCTACTGTTGCTGCTGCTGCTGGTGTTGTTGCTGCTGCTGCTACTGCTGGTGTTGTTGCTGCTGCTGGCGCTGCTACTGTTGCTGTTGCTGCTGGTGTTGCTAGTGGTGATGGTGGTGGTGGTGCTGCTGTTGCTGTTGCTGCCGGCGTTGCTAGTGTTGCTGCTGCTGCTGCTGCTGTTGCTAGTGTTGGTCCTGCTGCTGCAGCTGCCGCTGATGCTGCTGCTGCTGCTGCTGCTGTTGAGGATTCGGGAGTGGCTTCTAGATGAAATTCGTATGCATCTTCTGCTTCTGTTGCTGCTGCTGCTGCTGTTGCTGCTGCTGCTGCTTCAGGGGGCGCCCGCCAGTGTGTTCTTTTCTGCTGTTCCGGAGCCGCGCAGCAAAATGCTGCAGCAGCGGGCTGCCAAGCTGCAGCAGCAGCTAAACCCTAAATCTCAGCAGCAAACTCCCAGGCCTCCCCACATCACTTGGAAGGATCTGCTGCACCAAGTACGTTTAGGGTTTAGGGTTTAGGGTTTAGGGTTTGGCGTTTTGAAGTGGGTTGTACTGGGCGCAAAAGATGAGCAGCCCAGACCTAGGGTTTATGGTTTAGGGTTTAGGGTTTGCATTGCAACAGCCCAGACCTAGGGTTTAGGGTTTAGGGTTTAGGGTTTGCATTGCAGGTAGTGCAGCGGGCTTCAGTTGGTTACTGCGGCGCGCTGCTGCTGCCAGAGGAGCAGCAGCGAGTGGAGCTGCTGCAGCGGCTGCCTTTCTTCAAGCCCACGAAGGAAACCTACGGAGGTAACAGCGAGGGTTTAGGGTTTAGGGTTTAGGGTTTGGTGCTTAGGGTTTAGGGTTTAGGGTTTGGTGCTTAGGGTTTAGGGAATGGGCGTTGGAAATTGCTCTGAAACCCCGTATGGCTGTTATTGCTGCTGCTGCTGTTACTGCTGCTGCTGCTGCTGTTGTTGTTGCTGCTGCTGCTGCTGCAGGTGCAGCAGCAGACCTGACGACGATTGCGTTTGAGCGGCATGTGGGGCCGCAGCGGCTGCAGCAGCGGCTGCTGTCGCTTCCTTTTAATGAAGTAGTTGCAATATACAGCCCCCAGGAAGAGCAGCAGCAACAGCAGCAGCAGCTAGAGCAGCAGCAACAGCCAGAGCAGCAGCAACTGGAGCAGCAACAGCAGCAGGAGCAGGAGCAGCAACCAAAGCAGCAACAGCAGCAGCAACTGGAGCAGCAGGATGATGGTATTGAGACATCAACGTCAGCAAGTGCAGCAGCAGCAGCCAGGATGCAGCAGCAGGTGCAGAAGAAGAAAGAGGAATTACAGCAGCAGCAAGAGGAGCAGCAAGAGCAGCAGCAACTGCAGCAGCAGCAGCATAAATGGAAAGAGCAGCCGTGGGAGGGCGGGATACCTTCGCTCGAGGCTGGCAGTGCTGCTGCTGCTGTTGCTGCTACTGCTGCTGCTGCTGCTGCACGTGCCTCTAGCAGGTGCAGCAGCGTCAGCCTGAGCTCTCCTAGAGACGACAGCAGCAGCATCAGCAGCAGCGGCGACGAAGCGCCTTCTTTCACTCGGGCTGCCTTACCAAGTCCCTGGCTACAGCAGCAGCAGCAGCAAGAGCAGCAGCAGCAGCAGCAAGAGCAGCGGCCGCAACAGCAGCAGCTGCTGCTGCAGCACCAACAGCAGGATGCGCCGCTGCCCGCAGCAAGCCATGAATGCAGCAGCGACGAGGACCTGCTGCCAGTTAAGTGTCTTCCGTCTGCTGCTGGTGCAGCAGCAGCAGCAGCAGCAGCAGAAACTGCAGCAGCAACCGCTGCAACAGCAAACGCAGCAGCTGAGTGCACTGCTGCAGCAACTTCCCCATCGCAGGGGGAGCAGCAGAGCAGCAGCTACTGCGTTTCTGCTGCTGCTGCCGCAGCAGCAGCAGCTGCCTCCTCCTAAACGCTCAAACCCTAAACCCTCAACTTTTATAATGATGTGCAGCAGCAAATGACGAGAAACGAACAAACCCATTCAAGTTGCTGCTGCTGCTGCATTTGCTGTCTAGACACCACAACTAAGCTTGGTACTGCTTCTTCAATCGCTGCTGTTGCTACTGCTACTGTTGCTGCTGTTGCTGCTGCTGTTGTTGCTGCTACTGTCCGTACTGGCGATGCTACGTATGCTGCTGCTGCAGCAGTGGCTCCCGCTGCTGTTGCTGCTGCTGCTGCTGCACACACTAGAAGCTACGGGCACGGCGAACAAAACCCTAAACCCTAAACCCTAGCCTAAACCATTAAGATCTGACAACTATAGCTGTCGGTGCCATTGATTACTGCTGTTGCTGCTGCGCAGCAGCGGCAGCAACAGCAGCAGCAGCAAGAACAACAGCATAATATAGTTCCGTCAGCAGCAACAGCAACAACACCAGCAGCAACAGCAGCAGCAGCAGCTCAGCAGGATTAGCAGCAGCACATCACCAGCAGTAGCAACAGCTGCAGCAGCAGCAGCAATAATACCTGCAACACAAGGCCTGCACAGGGGCTTGTGTAACGCTGGCAGCAGCAGCAGCAGCAGCAGCAGCAATAAGAGTTATATTCAAGCGTATCTTTTAGAGACCTCCTTTTTTCTTTTCTACTCTCGTTGCTGTGTCAACTCTTGCTGCTGCAGTTGCTTCTGCTACAGCAGCAAGAACAGCAGCAGCCGCGCAACGGCATCGGCAGCTCCAGCAGCGGCAGCAGCAGCAGCAGCAGCAGCAGCAGCAGCTGCTGCTGCTGCTGCCTTTCCCCAGGTCTTCAATAAACAACAACTCGAAATTTGTGTTTTTCTTCTCTTTATAAGTACAGTCACGGCGTATCTCTTGCACTGCTGCAGCAGCGACGGAGGTTGTTGCAGCTGCTTCTTGCTGCTGCTGTTGCTGCTGCTGCTGCTGCGGCTGCTCTGCATCATTGGCAGCAGCGTCAGCCTCATCTCGTTGGCCTATGGTTTGCTGCTCGAGCTCCGCACATTTTGCTGCTTCCAGCTGTACGCACAGCAGCGGCGGCAGCAGCAGCAGCAGCAACAGCAGCAGCCGCCAGCCGCCCTGTCTTTCCCTGCTGCTGCAGCGCATCCGCGTGTTGCAGCAGTAGCAGCAACAGCAGCAGCAGAAGAAAGAGGCAGCAGCATAGCGGAGACAGCTTGCTAGGGTGTCAGTCTCGATGCTGCAGCAGCAGCAACATCAGCAGCAGCAACGCCGTCAGCAGTAACGGCAGCAGCAGCAGCAAGATCAACAGCAGGAGCTCAGTGCTGCTTCGCCGGCCTCCCGTCTACAGATTGCAGCAATAGCAAAAGAGGAGCGCAGCAGCAGCAGCAGCAGAACCTGGCGACCGTGGCGCTTCCTTCAGCATGAGTGGGAGAAACAGCAGCAGCAGCGAAAGCAACAGCAGCAGCAGCAGCAGGAGCAGCAACAGTAGCATCCCGAGCAACAGCAGTTGCATAGACAGCAGCAACAGCTAATTCTGCGGCTTTCTCTTGCTGTCAGTACGAGCTCAACAGCAAGGAAAGCAGCAACAGCAGCAGCAACACCAACTGCAGCAGCAGCAGCAGCAGCGGCGGCAGCAGCAGCAGCAGCAGCAGCAGCAGCGGCGGCAGCAGCGGCAGCAGCAGCAGCAGCGGCAGCAGCAGCAGCAGCGGCGGCGGCGGCGGCAGCGGCTGCGCCAAATTATTTGCATGGGCGTGGGGAGGCATTCTGGTGGCCTCTCACGCTGCTGCTGCTGCCGTTGCAGCAGCAGCAGCAGCAGCAACTTTTGCTGCGAGCAGGAGAGCAGCAGCTTCTTTGAAAATGGGCGCATGCAGCTCAAAGGCGCAGCAACAGACACGGTGAGGCCTCCAGCAGCAGCAGCAGCAGAAACAGCAGGAGCAGCAGCAGCGGCTAGGGAAGCAGCATCAGCAAAAATAACAGCAGCAGTAGAAGCAGCAAAAGAAGCAGCAGCAGTGTTAGCAGCAACAGCAGCACTACCACCATCAGAGGCTACTATAATAGAGCTTAGAGGGTCGTGGTTGCAGCAGCAGCAGCAGCAGCAGGGAGTGCATAGATCCTCCCGCTGCTGCTTGTGTCTCGTCTTGCCTTGTTGAGATACTTTTCCAGCTGTGCATACCCCAAACCCTAAACCCTAAACCCTAAACCCTCGTATATCTACCTGTTCTCTGCAGCGAGCCGGAGCCACGAGAGCAACAGCCTGCGCTGGAGCCGAAGCAAAAGGAGCCCTGCGCCCCGTCTGAAGCTGCCGCCCCCCCTCCTGAGGCGTAAGGGTTTAGGGTTTAGGGTTTAGGGCTTAGGGTTTAGGGCTTAGGGCATAGGGCTGGACACGTAGGGTTTGTGTTCGCTTCATTCCCAGTAAGAGCACTGAAACAACGCCTTTAGGGTTTCGAACGTAGGGTTTAGGGTTTAGGGTTTAGGGTTTAGGGTTAAGGCTTAGGGTTTAAGGATTAGGGTTTAGGGTTTAGGGTTTAAGGCTTAGGGTTTAGGGTTTAGGGTTTAGGGTTTGTGTCTAGGGTTAGGAAGATGTCGGGTTCAAGCGCCACAGCTCCCAAAGGCGAAATGCCTACAGCCAGTACAGGCACCCCTGAGCAGCAGCAGCAGCAGCAGCAGCAGCAGGAGCAGCAGCAGCAGCGGCAGCCGCAGCATCAGCAATCGCAGCAGCAGCAGCAGGAACCACAGCAGCAGCAGGAACAGCAGCAGCCGCCAGACAGGAAGACTTCACAGCCGCAGCAAAGCGATGATGCAGCAGCACCACCCAAGCCGTATGCTTGCGCCTTTGCTGCTGCTGCTGTTGCTGTTGCTGTTGCTGCTGTGGGATTACTTTGCAGTTGCTGCTGTTTCTGTTTGCGTTGCTGCTGGTGTTGTTGCTGCTGCTTGCTTTCGATGTTCCTCCCTGAGTTGGCGTGCGTATCCAAACCCTTCTGTTGCTGCTACTGCTGCTACTGCTGCTGCTGCTGCTGTTGCTGCTGCTGCTGCTGCAGGGGAGGCGAGCGGAAGGTTCAGAAGGCGATTATGCAGCAAGATGACACTCAGGCTGAAGATGCGAGGCTGCTGGTTGGTGTTGCTGCTGCTGCTGTTGCTGCTGCTGCTGTTGCTGCTGTTGCTGCTGTTGCTGTTGCTGCTGCTATTGCTGGGGGATGTTCTGCTGTGGTGCTGCTGCATCTGCTGCTGCTGCTGCTGCTGGTTTTGCTGCCGTTTGCTCCCCTTGGGGTCATTTTGCTTGTTTTTTTTTGCTGCTGCCTTCATCTTTGTTGCTGCTGGTGCGTTGCTGCTGCTGTCTCCACCTTTCTGTTGCCGGTGCTGCTTCTGCTGCTGCTGCTGTTGCTGCTGTAGAGCCATCTTGAGAAGAGGGAGAAGACAGGGACTGACTTGTCTTTAATTCGTTCGTCTTTATCAGCAAATTTAGTCTGCTCGTCTTTGAATGACTCGGAGGTTGAAGCCCTCGCTAATGCTGTTCAATTCTTTACTTTCACTAAGGGAGATATTGTCACCAAACAGGGAGAAAATGGTGCGCCTAGGGTTTAGGGTTTAGGGTTTAGGGTTTAGGGTTTAGGGGTCTACGGGGAGGGGGGGTGGTGGTGGGACGGAGGGTTCAGCAGGGGCTTCCAGCAGGGGGTTTAGGGGCTGGGGTTGAGCTATTAGGGTTTAGGGTTTGGCGTTTAGACTAAGGGTTTAGGGTTTAGGGTCGTCTAGGGTTTTGTTTTTGGGGTTTGCGCTGCAGGCAGTTACTTCTTCATTGTTCACAGTGGGGAGTTTGAGGCAAGGCAAACCCTAAACCCTAAACCCTAAACCCTAAGCTCTACGTAGTTTGCTGCAGCGAGCATTGGAGGGTTTAAGGTTTGTGCATTTGGCTGGGGTGTGTAATAACGCGGGTTAGGGTCTACGTTTAAGGGTTTAGGGTTTAGGGTTTTATATGTAGCACCTCCTTGTCTTTATATGTTACATCGTTTAGGGTTTAGGTTTTTATGCTGAGTGTTTGCAAGTGCTAATTCGCTGTATATAGTGTTTCCGGTGTATCTTCTCCCCTAGTATTTTGTGTCTAGTGTTTAGGGTTTAGGGTTTAGGGTTTAGGGTTTAGGGTTTATGGTTTAGGGTTTAGGGTTTAGGGTTTAGGGTTTAGGGTTTAGGGTTTGTGATAGGTGATAGTGAACGACAAAGTGGTGAATAAGATCGTGGAGGGTCAGGCCTTTGGGGAGATTTCGCTCATTCATAATTCTGCGAGAACAGCTTCAATTAAAACTCTGAGCGAAAAAGCAGCACTCTGGGGGGTGCAGCGACAAGTATTCAGGTCAGCAGCAGCAACAGCTGCAGCAGCAGCAGCAGACAGCATCAGCTGCAGCAGCAGCAGCAGACAGCATCAGCTGCATCTGCAGCTGCTGCAGCTGATGCTGTACTAGGAGATGCTGCAGTAGCTACAGCAGTTGCAGCAGGAGCTGCAGCAGATGCAGCTCCTGCTGCAGTAGGAGCTGCAGCAGTTGCAGCAGCAACAGCTGCTGCAGGAGCTGCAACAGTAGCTACAGTAGGAGCTGCAGCAAGAGCTACAGTAGCTGCAGCAGGAGATGTAGAAGCAGCTACGGCAGCAACAGTAGCTGCTGCTGTATTGGCAGCACCAGGATACGGGGCAGCAGCAGCTGCAGCAGTAGCAACAGCAACTGCAACAGCAGCAGCAGCAGCAGCAGCAGCAGGTGCTGGCTTGGTGTATATTTGGTTTTGTTTGTAGGGAGACGCTGAAGCAACTTAGCAGCAGAAACTTCGCAGAGAATCGTCAGTTCTTAGCTTCAGTCGAATTCTTCCAGATGCTGACAGAAGCACAAAAGAATGTTGTATGTCTAGGGTTTAGGGTTTAGGGTTTAGGGTTTAGGGTTTAGGGTTTAGGGTTTGGGGTGGTGGGGTGCAGCATTGGGTAGGGTTTTGTATTTTTGCATGTGCGATTTTCTTCGCGTCTCGAAGACATAGCTATGTAGGTTTATTTAGGGTTTAAATGTAGGGTTATTTAGGGTTATTTAGGGTTTAGGGTTTAGGGTTTAGGGTTTGCTTGCAGATAACAAACGCCTTGGTAGTGCAGTCCTTTAGGGCTGGACAACCCATAGTTAAGGAAGGTGAGAAAGGCGATATTTTATATATTCTCAAGAGCGGCAAGGCGAGGGTTTCTATCAATGGCAAGGATGTTCGGCTGCTGCAGGTCAGGGTTTAGGGTTTAGGGTTTAGGGTTTAGGGTTCAGGGTTTAGGGTTTGGGGTTTAGGGTTTAGGGTTTGGGGTTTAGGGTTTAGGGTTGAGGGTTTCGAATTGAGGTTGTTGAGAGCTTCGAGTTTGGGCTTAGGGTTTAGGGTTAGGGTTTAGGGTTTAGCTCGTGGGTGCCCTTATTAGCTCAGTTTCGTTGCTGCTGCAGCAGCAGCTGCTGCAGCAGCAACAGCTGCAGCAGCAGCTGTTGCAGCTAAATGATGAATCGACTTTGCATCTTCCTCATCCGCCGCCTTTCCTGCTGCTCTTACCGCTGCTGCTGCTGTTGCTGCTGCTGCTGCTGCTGCTGCTGCAGAAAGGAGACTACTTTGGCGAGCGTGCGCTGCTGTACGACGAGCCGCGCAGCGCTACAATTATAGCAGAGGAGGAGACAGTTTGTGTATCAATAGGAAGAGATCTGCTTGATAGGGTTTTAGGAAATCTACAGCATGTGCTCTTCAGAAATATCATGTTAGAAGGTAAACCCTAAACCCTAAACCCTAAACCCTAATCTCTGTGGGATACACCCTACGATTGAAGGTATAGGGCTTGCGCCGAAACGCAAACTCTATATACTCAATCGTTCGGCGTAGATTCTAAACCCTAGGCTCCAAACCCTAAATCCTAAACCCTAAACCCTTAGTGGTTAAATCTAACTGTTAAACCCTAAGCCCTTGCTGCTAATCGCTAAACCCTAAACCCGAATCTGTCTTGAAGAGTGCAGCATACGGGTTTAGCCTTGATCCGACGCGTGAGGGTGTTGCTTCTGGGGATTAGGGTTTAGGGTTTAGGGTTTAGGGTTTAGGGTTTGGGTGCTGCAGCACTGCAACAGAGCAAGGTGTTTGCTTCCTTCCCTACGGAGCAG